ATATTTTGTTTAGGTTTTATACGTTGTTTTATAATCGAGGAGAAGCCAATTAAGTAGATCATATGTATGAGTGTATGACGGCAGTCAAGGTTTTGATCACAGCTTCAACGGAGTTCTTCTATAAACAATTGGTTTGTGAGGAGTCGGCGACGGCAATTGCAGGCTGATATATATAAACGTGAAAAAACGATAAGAGAGAATGAAAATGAAAGTTGTTTTGGAAGTTAGATTAAGAGGTCTGATATATATATATAAAACTTTAAAGTAACTTTTTAATATGAAAACGCATAACTCAGAATCGGTTTTCAATTAGTTGTCACATTCCTCCAAAAACTTTGATTTAGTATTTATTGCATGTAAAAAGGATTAAGAGTACTCAGAGAATCAAAATCTTTAGGTTTGCAATAAACTTAAAGTATTATTTAATTATATATAAAAACCTAAATATCACTTCGTAATAGTAAATTGATATTTCTGATTAGTAATACTATACAGTATATAACAAGAGACTCTGAGTACGTTAATTAATTATTATTATTATTTTCGAATGGTTACAAACTAAGTAGAAAGCTTGAAACAAAAAGAGTAGAGACCTTTTACCTACTTATATACCTAAGCATAAACAAGATTAAGGTTGGAAAACCTCTAACCAAGCTAAGTACGTACGTAGCCATGTAAGAAACAGCAGGAGGAGCTCTAGATACTTGAGAGAAGGTCTCTAACTTAGAACGAAGAGTGTTTTTTTATATCCAAGATGATCGCTGACGGAGCTAGGGCGAAAAACCTGAATTTTGAGACTAAGCAAAGTGATAAATACACAACGAAATTGGTACTTTTAATATTTATTGCTAACTTCGTTTTATATATATATATATATAAAACATACCTCATAATCGTTTTTCCATTGGTTGGCAAATTAATCCCAAAAATGATTTGGTAGTTTTTAATATTTATAGAACTGTGTCATGACAATTGACATGCTTCAGTATTTCTTGCATGCAAAGGATTGAGATTGAAAGAATCAAAACCTCTTTAGATTTGCAGTAATTTTTTTTGAAAATGTGCAATTTAATTAATAAAAATTAATAAAATTCAGATTTTGAAAGTTACACTATAATAAATAAACAAAATTAAATATCCTTAGATTGGCATAAATATATTTAGATTTCTTAGTAAGTGAAAACTAATTCACATTAAATTTGGTTTGAGTGGCAAAATAAAAAAGAAAACGATATAAAGAGAGCTCATAAGAACATATCTAAAAGCTAGCAAATGTCATATATTGGCAACTAGGAAAAATGAATTGCAAAACTAGATTCATGAGCTCTATGGTGATGATTTCAATAATCATCATATTTCTTTTGGTTTCAGGTTAGTCTCTTCATGTATATATGTTTTAACAGCAAACTACGAAAAATATCAATAATGTGTTATCGTAAATCAAATCTTATTTTCTATAAAATTGATATTGGATGAAAAAGTAGGGAAAACTGAAGCGCTTCCCCAAAATTGCATTGGATCATGTAAAATGCTTATTGACTGTGCGACGGCTTGTATCAAGATGGGATACACAACTGGCCAGTGTGTTGGCTGGAAAGACCCCGATATATGTTGCTGCGACCATTGAATCTTTTCGTAAATATACTTAAAATCATCAACAAAAATAAGTAAATTCATATATCTCTGATTATTAAATTATGCTATATAACAAAGTGTATATATGAATTCTCATAATATACATCAATATTGTGTTATCATATGCATATTCAGTTTTCTTTTATCTGTTATATTCTGGTTTTGAGTGAAATATAGATAAGGTAGAAGAATCCTAAATAGAATGCGTTGGACCATGTAAACTGGTTGGAGACTGTATGCAGGTGAGAGTATTAAGTAATGTCCAAATTAAAAGTGGCCGCTTGGTGAATAATGCCCTAACAACTCTTGAGTAATAAGTAGTAGTAAAGACAAGTCAAGATGAAGAAAAGACAAATGAAATTAGTTCAAATCGGGTTGTAATATAGAGGATAATCAATGACATGATCGTCGGCCAAACTATCACATGACTCGGAAAAAGAGACCTTTCTTCTTTAAAGCACAACTTCTATCTTTGCAATCTCATGTGCTTCTTGTCTCTCCTCTGTTTCCTTGTTGTTATGTCCCCACCACATTCACTTCCCTCATTTCTCAACCTATTCACACGACACTACTATTGCTATTGATTCCTTTTGAAGCAACCCGCCAAGTACATTTAAAGCCACTAAAGCAACAAGATAACGACTAAAGCTAGATAAAAGACTTTTACGAAACAACTTTTTTATATCAATGGAGGTGAAAAATAATAATAATCATACAACATTATATTACATACAGTTGAAGCCGTTTAAGTTAGGCCTCCACATCCAACAGGAAGTGTATATCGCAACAACCCCAAGAGTGAAAATTAAAGTAAGAAAAAAAAAAAAAGCAGAGTTGCCTGATATGGGTAAACATTTTGTTGACTTCTGCACAACCAAAAAAAAAAAGGTTTTTTCTTTTTCTTCTGATTATTCTTGATCAATTAACATCGACGACCGGCTCTGCAGTTAAGAGCACCCGAGTAAGAGGTCATTGTCCCTACTAGTGAGGATGATTTTGCTGATAAACTCGAAGCTCTGGCATAGTTGGCTCCTGCTCCAGCTCCAGAACGTGTGAAAAATGCTCCGTTTAAGAAAAGATCTCCTTCTGATCTCCAATTCCAGTGCTTCCATGTCGATTGCCCTGTGTACTCTCTCTTGGTCACCTGCCAAAATTTCACCAATCATCAATCTCGTTGCAATCACCGTTTTAGAAAGATCAGGTGTCAGCCACAGTTTGTGTTTTCATAGTGACAGCATTAATGTCAAAACACGATATAAAGATGGATCCTTTTTGAATCAAGTGATAGTCAAAAGAAACATACCTCCTTAGCAAATGGGTTAGTTGGAGCAAGAAATCGATTGCCCTGACTGTTGATGGTGGGACTAGCACTACCACCAATTGCATACATTTCCCAGTGTGTGTAGTCGTTGTTAACTACATGGAAATATCCATGCCTACACCTACAAAGACAAAAAAAAAATTCATTTATTTGTCTTAGAACCTACACAACTTTCTCAAATCATACAACCAGCAGAGCTCAAGATCTTTAGTACCTTGGCATTCTCTGGATTAAACCCTCACCAAAATGGTTGTAAGCAATTGTGACTTGCATCACCTTGTCTCTTGTGTATGAATCACTGTGCCCCAAAAGCATAACCTAGTGAACACATTCTCTAATCAATCCCCAATTATTCCAATACATGAACAGAGAGAAATCAATAATTTAGGTTTTACCTCATTGTGGTGGGTGAAGAAATTGTTAGAGACAGTAATGGCGGTGGAGCTCATAACAGCGTCAACAAGGCCATCAGCACAATTAGAAAGCGAATTGTGGTCAATCCAGATATGGCTCGCCCCAAAAATGGAGATAGCGTCACCATCAGCCATGGATCTCCACCCGTAATGCGTCGGAGAGCTTCTAACCATAGCGTTACCCGTAGGCTTACAGTCATGGATATGAATCCCATGGACGATGATGTTGGTGACGTACTGAATCGTGAGGCAAGCGCCATTAGCGATGTGAACATTGACACCACGGCCGTCGATGGTCTTGAAGCTGTTCATGATCAGCTCTTGTTTCAAGGTTATGACCATGTCGCGTTTGAAGATGATCCAGAGCGGTTCCTCTTGGATCACGGCGTGGCGGAGTGTCCCCGGTACCGGATTCACCGGGTTGTCGTCTCCAGGGTCGGTTACGACGTAGTAACGGCCGTCGCGGCCTCCGATAGCGTTGCGGCCAAATCCGATAGAGCAATCGGCTAAACGTTTGCGACGGAGCTGCCATTTACGGTCGCAACGCCAGCAATCGTCGATAGGGTTGCCGGTGGCGCAGGAGAAGTAACCCAATCTCCTCCGCTCTGTGCTGTTTCGAATGCTCCTGTTTTCATCGTTAAACGTTTCATCCAAAAAAAATTATTAGACTTGTAATAATTTCACCTTATTATTAATATCACTACAAAATTACTTAAATCACTACAATTTTACTCAAATACTAGAAATTTGATATTTATTTTTAGCTAATTGCATATTTTTGTGAACTGATTTAACTTTAAGACTCTTATTAAAATTTCACAAAAAAATACATTGCTTTTTTTTATTTTTGTTACTTATGAGGGAAAAAATACCAAAATAAATACTGAAAATTGTTACGAGTAAAACTAAATAAGATAATTTGGAAAGACTTTTTAGTAGAACTAAAACTTCAAAGTCAAGAGATGGTAATGTAAATCATTTTCAGATATACTCGACTAAAAAGAAAAATCCAAAATTCTAACAAATTGTTTTTTTTTTTTTGATAATTAGGTAAAAGAAAAGGTAAAAAACAAAAACATGTTATGATGAAGTGTACGTGTCGATGCATGTGGGCATGAGAGAGAGCATGTGCATCGAGCGGCTGTCAAATCATTCGTTTCGAAAGAAAGATTTTTAAGTGGTGAAACATTACACATGCATCTTCGCTCTCCACCAATCATAATACTCTCACTTCCGAATCGCATTTTATATCAACAAAAAAAAAAAAAGAAGCAAACAATGCATTATCGGTATAAATTGTATGATCAAAGTGCAAGTGATGCATTATTGCCCTTTAATGAAGAGAAGCAAGCTCTACATCGCATGAACCGACTTTTACAGCGTAGGACGAGAGAATAAGCATAAAGAAGAACCTCTCTCACTCACCACAGTTAAATCAAAATTATCTTATGACATAAATATACAACCATATGCAGGTTCCAACATGATTTTTTTTATTTATATAATACATATTTCCTTTTCTAGGTGTTGAGTAAAGTTGAAAAAAAATAAAGTTAGTAAATTGTGACAAATCCTTTAACTATGTCATAAATGAAATTTAATTCTGTAATTACTAAGAAATCAAATACTGAAATAAGAAGGAAAAACAAATAAAAGGGAATAGTCAGAGGAATGTGGGCTTTGAGTTGGACCCATTTTTGGACTAATAAGAGTATATGAAAGTGATGTCTCATAAACTTTTTTTTTACTTCTTCTCTCAAGTGAAACTACACTTCTTCTCTCATTCATGTGAACCTGCGCTTCTTCTCCTTTGTTTTCTCATTCATTCATTTTTACTTACCTCTTCTTTTTGTTTCCCTCGAATAAAAAACATAATATCAAAGATGCTTGCTATATGGGGAAAAGTTTAATTATTATTTTCAGAAAAGCATCACGAGATTGCTATATAGCTAAGTACACCTGGATGTAAGAGTTTTTTTTACAGTATTTTCTTTCTTTTTTTGATGATTGGAAATTTGGGAGTATGAGTTTAGTTTATATATATTTAAGTTTACTATTTATCATTGTTAGTCATTATTATATAGTAAAAGTTAAAAAAAAAACATCTAAATCTATATATTCGTTTTGTAGATATATATAAAAAAAACTCACATGTCCACCATGGCAGCTACCTCCTCTGGCTTCTCAACTGCATGTTCATGCCATGTTTCATTGGACCTGTTTTTTTTTTAACAAAACATTTATTATTATTATTATTATACAATCCAACAAATTATTGTCTCATTTATCACTTGCTATATATATTAATATATCAAAATTTATTTACACACTGCTTTTTGTTTCCTTATTTCTTTTCAATTGATCGATAACTATAGAATTAGTATGCATGTCGCTAATATCAGGGATGATCAAATTATATTTGAAAACTCATCGATCAAAACCAGCAATACGGACCTCTTCAAGGTGTATACATACAGTATATATTAAGGGGGGAAATAAATCAGGTTTCTGCATTCTTGATGAACGCTCACTAATTCTTGGTGAACAGCAGAACAAGAACACGTAGAATCAAAGCTACATTGAGCTAGAAACTCTTTGATGGATCATGGATGTCATACGTCTAACTAACCAATGTATAAAATGAAGTGAGAATCATGATGATGATACTAAAGTGATTACCTGGATGAACTAACGCCGATAAACAGAGTTGCTAGAAGTAATGCAGAAGCGAAGAGTAGAGTAAGCTTTCTGACAGCCGCCATTGTTATATATATATATATATTGTTGTTCTTTCTCTGGTTGTGTTTATTTGTCTCTGTCTCAGACAGAGGCAGAGGCAGAGGCCTTTTTCTCGAAATAAAAAGAAAGGAAGAGGATTAGGAGAAGAAGAAGAAGAAGAAGAAGGAGGGTAGAAGAAAGGCTACGGGAGAGACGAGTTAATATAAGAAGAAGAATGCGTGACCATTCCCATTATCTCTTATTCGCCTAATTTCATATAAAATATAAATAGATAAATACATAAAGGAACATTTTCAAAAAGTGATACTAAAAATACCATATTAATTAGAAGATTTACAATTTATATAATCATGAGAGTCATGAATCTGGGTTGCGATTGCTAATCTGGACGATGATGATCATATCATTAATTCACCCTTTTTTTATCTATTAATAAAATTATGTGAAATGGTGATATAATAGTGAAAACGTAATCATTGGGTCTCCAGTTAAATACACAAAAAAGGGTTTTAGCAATTATTATTGAATATATATTTTCATAATCAATTTGAACAGTAGTAAATTAGGTTACAAAACCAGTTGACTATTGTCATGATGATTCATAAAGTCATCCTTTTAAAAACCCGACCTACAGATTCAATCTAGCGTGTTAATC